CTCAACATTGAGACTCGAGTGCATATGTTTCCAAGAAACAAACTTTCTCGTTTTCGGCAAAAGCTTTGTCCTCTTCAGTCGAAACTGTTTGCAAGTGACGCAAGTCCGACTTGTTTCCGACCAGCATAATCTGATATTGGCATCGGTGAGATCTCTGAGTTCCTTCAGCCACCTTTGAACGCTTTTGAAGGTAACGTTACGGGTTACGTCGTAACCGAGAGCACCACGGTAATATGCTCTGGTTATCGCACGGTACCTCTCTTGTCCAGCAGTGCCCCAAACCTGAGCTTTAACAACCTTACCAGCGACATGAACATTGCGAGTTGCAAATTCAAACCCAATAGTAGACTTAGATTCAAGGCTGAACTTGTTTTTTTTGTAAATCTAGTCAAAAGATTGGATTTCCCGACACCGGAGTCACCTATCAACACAAACTTAAACAAGTAATCATAGTAGTCACCTATCAACACAAACTTAAACAAGTAATCATAGTCTTCATCACCTCTGTAATATCCCATTTCTCTCTTTTTCTGCCTCCTTTCTTCTTCTTCCCTCTGTTTTGTCATCCGATGCAGTCTTCAATTGAGAACAAAATATTTAAAGAGGAAAAATTAAAAACAAGGAATACCCTTTGTTTTGATTGTTATTTGGGTAAGTTACTTGTTAAAGTTGACATTTTTTGTTTTTGGGATTCTGGGTTTTGTACACGTCTGAACAACAAAGAAGCAGCTGAACGCTTGAGGCTAATGGCTAATCTTAGTAACAGCTGGTTGAGAGTTACCACTTTTCACGTGATTTTGGAGTGTGAAAAAGGTTGGTTTGTGTTGTTAAACCTTTAATTTTTTAACCCATTTGTTTTATTCAACAAACTAGTGTCATTATTAAACTTCGTGCTCAACTTAATGACGTTACACTCTCAAAATATGATAACTGTTGGAGTTATGGGTGAACATTTGAAGGAGATAACAAAATTGAAGTATTTTTTCTTATATTTTTTTTATTGATAATTTATTTTCATCTTTTAAAATTTTATAAGTTTATCCTAACATAAAATTTTGCATCTACTTGTGATTGGATATATGATATGAGTATAAAATATTTACAAATAATGCAAAATTTATATGTCATGTAACTCTAGGGATTAAATAATGTGATATCATATCTTCACTGTATTGCTACTTATATGTCCGAATCTATAATGCAAAATATCACTATCATGCAAATCAAATACAAGTAGAAATGAATAATTCGAATATGGAGTAAAGAAGGTGTATACGAGACACATATATTATTTGAAAATATTTAATATTCGCATGCCCTGGTACCTGGACCAAACAAATAATTCATATACCAACATATAAAAAGTTATGAAATTCAAATATTGAACTTTGCATTAAGCCTAAAATTATTTAAAGCCTTCACCACCAAGGTGATTGATTACCTAGTAGCTTAAGCGCACAATTTCACTAATACACGCCAGTTTGTTTCTCTGATTTAATTATTTCTGTATCGATATTTTTTTTAAAATAAATAAAAGAAATCAAATTCGTTCTTCAGGATGAAATCTACATGATCGTTAATTTACGGATTGACTCTTAAGCGATTCAAGAAAAAATAGTTGTTATCTTTAACAAATAAGGTGTACATTAACTAAGTAATAGCCTAAGAAGTAAGAACGCAGTTTTATTAATACAATTCACTTTGAGACATAACCCCAATAATACCTATACGTCATTAAAGTATCAAAGCTATAAACTCCACCAAGTGATATATAGAGGGTTAGGATCAACTTACACAATGTAACTGGATCTGCCTCATATATATTAAAATAATATTTGACTTTCTAAAACAGACTTCATTGATAATAAGAAAATAATTATGTGGGCGAATTTTCAGCTGTTTCAGGGATTATCAACTTATGTACGCATAGAGTTGTAATTTTAGACGCCTTTCTTTGCTATGTGCGAGAAATATCTGAATGGTGGAAAAGTCTATGGTAGAGATTGATTTCCAACTCCATTTCAAGTATTATAGTAATAATATGACGACCCCCAAATATTCCTATGGATGCCAACCTCTTTGGGTCATTGGATTTACAACTTATTTTATTTAACAAAAAGGGATTAAAGTTAATTGCACTTTTGAAAAAGAACTAATGTGGTGATCGTATTATTGTTTTTCTCTCGATGTGGATCTTCAACTCATAAAACAAGCCCAATGTGATCCTTTGACCAAAATTTTTCGTCGTTGATTGTTACAGACCTGACATGATAGTTCACGGTGCTAACGTAACAGTCTACAGTGTTGACGTGGCAGTCCACATTGGTTGATAAAGTGACATATAACATGGCAGATGGGCTAAATTGTTAACTCAAACATCATAGATGGACTGCCGCGTTAGTACTGTGGACTGCCACGTCAGCATTATGAACTGCCACATCAATACTGTAAAGGTGAAATGACGAAAAACGTTGGTCAAAGGGCCACATTGAGAGAAAAAAAAATATGAGGGCTACATTGGTTTTTTTAAAAGTATAGGGACCTCTTATGCCTTTTTGCCAATTTATTTTTGGGTAAAGTACACAAATAGTCCCTCGACTATTAAAAGTTATAAAATAATCCCTTGATTATAGAGAGATACTTTGTTGTGTCCCCCTATTATTAAAAGTTACAAAATGATCTGTCGACTATTCATATGTTCCAAACTCATCATTTTCTATTACAAAAATAGTAATCGTCTTAGCTGAAGTTAACCCGTTGACTGAGATATGATAAAATATGGTCTAGAATCGTTTGAGCTATATTTTGTGGAATGTTTCTGTTTATATGATATTGTTGAGTCAGTTCTTGGAATATTATGTCGTAGAGTTAGTGCTTGAAAACAACGACAATGTTAATATACATCATTAAAATATAGTTTTATAATATCTTAGTCATTAGGTTAACATCCAACTCAGAAGGTTGCCAACTTTTTAATGGAAAGGGACAAGTTTTAACATATGAATACTTGGATAATCATTTTATAACTTTTAATAGTTAGGAGATTCAATAAAGTAATATTCTATAATTAGAGACCATTTGCATACTCTATCGTTTATCTTTTTACTATAAAAATTTCCCCCTTTCCAAATAACTTTCACTACTATTGTCAACAAAATTTATGATGTACTCATAATTAACATCATTTTAGTTTTAAGATCGGTCCTAGATATTATAAAATATAGAGATTTAAAAAATTAAGAATAAAAGGTATGATAAATAAAGAGAACAAAATAATTATTCTTTTAAAGTAGTGTATATACACTATTTTTTTTCAAACTTATCTATATGTAAAATTATATTCTTAGTAGACATAAAAGTACTAAATAAAATATATCATTAATACATAAAGTTATAATCATAATGAACTCTCACATATAACATATATTCATTGAAGATAATATATCTCGTTAAAATTTTCTTCAAATAAAATTGTATAGAAGAAATCATATTGAAATGAAAGAGTATACGTATATTTAATATGCACATCGCACCATAAAAAATCTTATTAAAAATTTCAATGAGATAAACCGAATATTAAAGAAAAAAGAGTATAATATGTATGTACTCTCCCTCATGATAATACGACATAAGATATTTGAATCTTTATAATCCAATCTTGAATACAGTCTTCAAATATTAAATTTACCAATGAATTAGGAAATAGATCTTCCAAATTATCACTTCAACTATTTTTGTTGAATAAATTATACTGTATTCTTCCAATGATCATGATAGAGAAAAATTTAGAGAAATATGTTCTAGTTTGTCTTCTTTGATGTATTATCATTTCAATTGAGATACACATTTTTATTATATTCTATAAGAAAATTGATATTTTATTTTTTTAAGCAAATCATATATCTTCTTGATATGTTGGATCAATAATCTTGACCAAACACATTCTCAGATAGTTTTTTGCATAACAATTATTTCCACATGATTTAAAAAGATATCAACTAATGCTTGAAGAACTAAGGCAATGATCTTATACCACTTAGATAATATTTTTGGATTGTCAAAACGACCCTTAAAATTTTTGAAGTGATCTTACCTTTAAGTGAAAAATCAAAGTTTCTGGGAATCAACATTGACCTTTTAGATTAGGTAAATCGAATAGCTAAAAATATCTTTTTAAAGAAGTTTTGAGAAAAATCTTTTGAAAGACAAAATAAATCTAAGTTATATAGTGTTATTTTTTGAGTCATCTAATTATTAAAAATTATAGAATGATCAATCGACTATTCATATGTTTCAAACTCGTCCCTTTTCATTGAAAAATTGGCAATCGTGTAAGCTTGACGTTAACAGTTGACTGAGATATGATAAAATATGATCCCAAAATCGTTTGAGTTATATTTTTTGGATCGACTCTCCATTTATATTATGTCATTGAGTTAGTGCTTGAAATATTATGTCGTCGAGCCAATGCTTAGAAGCAACATCGGTGCCAGTAGACATCATTAAAATATGATTTTATCATATCTAATCAGCAGGTTAACGTCTAGCTCATATGACCGTCAACTTTTTAACTAAAAATGACGAGTTTGGAATAAATCAATAGTAGGGGGACCATTTCGTAACTTTCTATAATCAAGAGACTCAATAAAATAATATCTTATAGTAAGAGGATAATTTTATAACTTTTAATAGTCAAAGACTCAATAAAGTAGTGCCCCATAGTCGGGGGACCATTTATATACATACCTTATTTTTTTTATAGAATTCATTTTGTAGTCTCAATAGAAATGTTGTTATCCTTAAAGATTTTGAGTTCGAACAATTGCGTTTATAAAATGTATGCGTTATCAATAAAAATTTTCAAAATATATCTCATTTTAACCTCCATTCAATTTTTAGTTAAGAACTAAATAAGTATTAATATAAAATATAAAATATTAGTGCGCGGTTCATTGTATAAATTTATTTGGTGTAGCTTTAGCAAAATACAAACTCGTAATAAAATTGACGAGAGAATCACCCCTCCTGCCACCACGAATCCACTATTCTTCTTCCTTAAAATACAAGTCCAGAGCCAATTGGTACAAACTTGAATGCCCTGAAAATCAACATCAACATGGCATTCAATCGAGAACAAGAAAAGGTCCAGAACACCCATCATCATCTTCCACTGAATGAGAACGACTCTCAAGACATGTTCATCTTCCACGTCCTGAACGAAGCCAACAGCTCCCATCATCACCCCCTGCAAACCAATAACTCCCCGAGAAACCAAACCGCCGCGCTCGAACCGGCCAGGACCATCGGGAAGAAGCATTACAGGGGCGTCAGGCGTCGTCCCTGGGGCAAATTCGCCGCCGAGATCCGTGACTCTACTCGACAAGGGGTTCGGGTTTGGCTCGGTACATTCCAAACAGCTGAAGAAGCCGCCCTGGCTTATGACAGGGCAGCTTTTAGGATGCGTGGTTCCAAGGCTTTACTCAATTTTCCGGCTGAAATCATGGCGGCGACATCCTCGGTTCAACGAATAAGGCCGGATTCGAGCTTGAAAAACATGGAGAGAGAAACCATTGATTCAGGAAGTAGCTCCGGCATGATTTCATTTGGAACATTGAAATCAGATTCAGAGAGCAGCACAAAAGGGGAGTCCCATAATAAAGGATCAGATTCAGATAACTTGAACACCACAAGGTCTTGAAAGTTTTCCTTTTTCAATTTCCCTCCCTAACGATATACACAGTTTTTGTTTTCATGTAAATTGGGCAAGTAAAATTGGTTTTTGGAGGTGTGGATTTTGATTGTTTGATTTCAAGTTTTAAAATTTTCATGTTATTTCGGTATAATTCGACTTTGACTTTGAATTATTTTAGGATCGGTTTCTTTTATTATTGTTATTCGATTTTTTTTTTACTTGTGTCATTAATTAGTTCAAATTTTGTAGGAGTTTATTTACTTAAGTGTGAATTTATGTTAGTTTGATTGTCTTATTTAATAAAAAGAAATGTTTTTTCTTAGAAAATATGAGTTTTAACAATTACATAGCAGAATATACGGTTAATTATACATTGTTAACGATTACGAATTTTTTTAAACAAATATGATCTTATAATCACTTCAAATTATTAAAAATATCAATTTTGTCATCTATAAGCTCAAAATTTCTAATTAAGTGGGCATGTGTTTGCAATTGACGCCAAACCGATGTATAAAAATGCAATTTGATTTCCTCATACAAGTGCACCAATTTGCTTTCGCTTTTGATTCTAGAACTTATGATTAGCCAATAAAGTTAATTAAAACGTAAAAGAGCAACCTTAGTTTAGGAGACTTTTATTAAAATTGAGTGCCCCAGGTTTACTTGTCAAACGATTCATTCAAACGGTTGGTGCGCTTCATTCTATAAATATTGGAGTTTTGATTATTCGCTTGCTTGTTGGGGACGAATATGATAAACATACATATCTCAAACTATATAGGTTATCAAATTTAAAATCTTAATAAAAAGAACTTTATAAATCATTTTTTTAAGAACCGGAATACATGTGCTAATTATTAGAACCAATATAGACTAAATGTGTTCATTGACTTTTAAAAAGTTAGAATTTTTAAATTTTGACCATCATTATTTTAAATAATTAAATTTTATAAAATATATATTTAAAAATTACTTAATTTAAAGTTTTTAATTTTTATTTTTATTTTTATCAATAATAATTTTTAGATAATAATGAACTCAAATTTAAAAAATTAACTAAAAATCAACAATAAACAGATTTAATGAGACAAAATGAATATTAAATTAAAATTTTATTTTCAAAGTTTACTATCAAATAAAGTTTTACAAATTTGAATTTACTTAATTCAATCCACCTACATTTAAATTTATGCTTGATGGTGTCAAAGGCCCTTAATCTTTTCTACAAAAAACTAATGTAATCCTCAAACTATTTTTGCACTCAATGTGACCCTCAAATTAAAAAAATAATATCGTGGCTCATTAACCTATAATTTTTGTCATTGACCTTACGATGTTGACGTGGTAGTCCATGGTGTTGAAATGATATTCCACGACAGCCAATGGCATGACAGATGGGCTAAATTATTTTTGGATCGAATTTAAGGACCAAATTGATATTTTGAAAGTACAATGTCTTATTTATTTCTTTTAAAAATAAAAAAATATTTTAGATTTAATTTATACAAATATTCAAAAAATTAAATATTAAAAATAAAAATGAGATTTTTAAAAGTTTAATATATATATTCGAATTTTTTTAATTTTAATTTCTACATATAAATTTTTACATATAATAAATAATTAAATATTTTTAGTTTACTTAAAATTTAATATAAATTATCTACATGAATAAAACATGAAATTCAACGGTTACATTATTAAAATATTAATCATAATTTTTTTTATTTAGGTGTGTAAAACTTTTTTAATTTTACACTAATATAAGTGGATTTATTTCTTTATAATTTTATCGATTTAAATTAAGAAATCAAGTTTACTTACTTATTTTTTTAAAAATAAGTTCAGATATCAATTTAAATTTAAAAATTCAAATATTTAATTAGACAAAAGAAGTAGATACAAAAATTTATATTAAACCTTTATTAATGCAAAAACATAAGTTCATATATTTACTAGTGAAGTATGTGATGCTATTTAAGAGATTTAATTACCTATTAAAAATTTAGTTATTTTTATATTGTTTATGAGTGTTTAATGAGTTACCAACGCTTTTTTTTTTGGCTTATTATTGTTAATGTACAAGATTCTTTGAATAAAATCACATATCCATAAATATTTTTGAGTATATATATATCATAATTTTTTTGTTTGGTAGATACAAATAAAATTTTAAAGTGAATACCTTTAATAAAATGAACAATTAACCTAAAGCAATTCAGATTTCAGGATATAACGTGTTCATTATAGAACCCATTTCCATCCACCACTGCTCGAATATGTTATTCCAAAATGTGTACAAACCAATCCCTGTCGTATATAGTCTGGTTCTTGCAATGTTATGGCGCCACCCAGAGAATTAAAAACAATCACATAAATATGTACACATGTCCGCGCACACGTAAAATGAATTGTATTATAAGTATTGATGATCAAATCTGTAATTATATAATTTTTGTTAACTGCCACATTAATAATTCTATTAAGTATTAATGACAAGTGACTTGATTGATATCATTTAAATGTTAGATGGTTTGATTGATAAAATTTCAAAATCGATGGTCAAAGTGAAAAGAGACAATAATTGATTGGTCTTACATATAGTTTGCCCCTTATTAATTAGTGAAGTTTTCTTCTTTAGGTTCATTGAATAACTGCCGCAAGACTCCCCCCCCCCGATTTCAAGGTTTCTCCTAATTAATTTGGTTCTCCGTATCGCACATCTTATTTTAGCGGTGTAGCTCTCACTTTTTCTATTTTTAAGCGTTTAACCTCCACCATTCAAGTTGAACTGTTTAAATATCGAAGCGTGTGCAATAAATATTACAACGTATTTGAACATTGTAATATAATTATATAAAAATAAATTATTTTTTAATAGTTATTTTTGAAAATAATTATAATTTTTTAATTATTTAAATATATTTAGTTGATAAAATATAATCATATTTAAAATTTTTATTGTTATGTTTACTAAAAATATAATTATATTATTAAATAAATTTAAAATTGAAATTAATTTTATTTATTACTTTGGAATATTAATTAATAAATTCTAAAACATTCAACGTATAATTATAAATTAGTTCAAAATTTAAAGATAAATTATTTAAAATAAAAGGTAAACTATATCAGTGACCACCTAACTATTGCCCCTTTTCATTTTGAATAATATTTTTGAAATTTTGTAAATCAGACCACTCAACTATTTAAATGCATTCAATTAAGCCACTAGCCTTTAATATTTAACGGAGAAGCTGATGTGGCAGTTAAAATATTTGGTATAATTACACATTTTGTCACTATTACTTATGTATTTTATCAATTTGGTCCTAATTTTAATAAATTAAAATAAACTTAATCCTCAAATCTTTAGTTTTAAAAGATTTTAAAAGTTATGACATATTCTATATTTATAACAAAACAAAATTTTTACTATAAATTTCATTTATGGTTCTCAGAAGCATCACATCAATGGTACCTTAACCTCTTTTGATTTTAAGAAAAATATAGTTGATTAGCCCATGCATATAAAGTTTGTTGGACAAAATTTTTATCCTACTACTATTTGTAAATGACATTTTACTAGAAAAAGGTGATATAGTCTAACCTGTAAAACTAATAAATTTTTATCCAGTAAATTTCTAATAGAAAAAGGTGACATATGTTTCTTCCACGTTTGACACAGTATTCCTTTAAAAATTTAAAAATTCATCTCCTACCATAAAATTTTATGTCCATCTTTAATAAAGGTTTATACTGATAAGATTCTTGGTGGACTTAGCATGAAAAATTTTGCAATAAGAGATTGACCTATATCAAAAGGGCGATAAATTTGGTTTGCATTAAATTTAATATCATAAATTATTACTTGAGTCATTCAATCTTTTTATAAATATAGAATATGTTGTAACTTTTAAAGTCGAGGTCTGAAATGGCATACGGTGTTCGTGGATAATGTGAGCAAAAGGATTCACTCTAAATCCCTAAAGGAGTCATTCCAGATATAGTGGTGATCAATGTCTTTGTAGCGTATAGTAGCAGACGAAGAATTGCATCCGATTCAACTTTTGCTTTTGTTAGGTTCAAAAGCAAATATGAAGCAGACTCAGCTGTTCGTAGAGCTGACGGTAAGATCATTGACGGCTTTAAGATTAGAGTTTTTCATGATAACAATGGAGCTTCTAAATTTTAGAGGTTTGAGGCTGTCAGAAGCAACAAGAAAGTTTGGTAGCCTTCGTTAAGGGATTCCAGGTCTTTTAAGGTAGTAGTTCGAGGGGAGCAGTCTGTCGTAGGGAGGTCTAAGGAGCATGTTGATGTTATTCAGCAATCTCTCTCTTCAGGTCTGAATAATGTGATTCATGTCATTATTGATAATGGTATAGCTTCGAGGGCAGTTCCAGAGGATGGTGAGGTTAATAGATTAATCAGTATTGCGAAGAAGGACGTTTCGTGGAGAAATTCTTGTCTGGTGGGGAAAATAAAAAGTATGTACAATGAAGATATTATTAAGATAACTTTTAGTGCAGAAGGGTTTTACGTGAAGGTAAGTATTTGGCATGATTTGCTGGTTGTCATTCAATTCAAACATGAAACTGCTCGTCAGGTGTGCTGGTCCAATAGAGAGGTTTGGGTTTCTCGGTGGTTTGATGATCTAGAATTGCTGGAGGGTTATGAGAACAAAGGTAGATTCAATGTCTGGATTCTGTTGTCGGGTGTTCCATTAATAGTGTGGAGTGAAAAATTCTTCTTAGAGTTGGGTAGTTTGTGGGGTAAAGTGTTGAAGATCGATAAAGAAACTAGTAATCGATCAAGGTTTGATATTGCAAAGATTTTTTTGGAAGTTCAATTCGCTTCAGATATTCCGGAAAAAATTTCCATTGTTTGTAATGTAAAAGTTTATTCCATCAAAATTACAACGAAAGATCAGGAGGAGATTAGAATGTTCATAGATGGCTCGATGCCGGGCGGAGGCGAGTGGTGCTCAGACGCAGTGGAAGCGGGTTTATTTCCATCGA